GAAGTCCACAAGCCTTAAAGTTGCCAAGGTTGGACACCCCTGACTTAAACACAATTAAACAGTTTCCTCATCCTTTCATTTTTCTTCTTTTTCTTTTGCAACTGTTTTTTTTTTAAAGAATCCGGTATACGAAAAGCAGGTTGTAAACCAGAGCACGTCCTCATATTTATCCCTCCAGAGAATCAGGGACTACAGCTCAGCATTCGGGGCAGAGGTGTGTGTGTGTGTGTGTGTGTGTGTGTGTGTTTGTGTGTGTGTGTGTGTGTGTGTGTGTGTGTGTGTGCTTGGCTTATTGAATGGCACACCACCTTTTCAAGCCTCAGCTCTGTCATGTTGGACTACTTCCAACTCTGTTATTCTGTGTTTTCCTTGCTATGCCGTTCTTCGAAATGTGGATTTGAACTCACCAGGTCTGGTGTCTGTCTCTTGCATTAGTTTATGGGTAGACTTCAACTTACGACAGTTCATTTAGTAAATGTTCGAAGTTATGACAACACTGAAAAAGTGACTTCTGACTGTTTTTCACAGTTATCATTATGTGATCATGTGATCATGACATCAAAATTCAAACATATGTCAACTGATTCATATTTAGTTGCAGAATCCCGGGATCGTGTGATCCCTTTTTGCAACCTTCTGACTAACAAAGTGAATGGGGAAGCCAGATCCACTTAATGACCACATCTTACTAACCTAACAACTGCAATGATTCACTCAACAACTGTGGCAAGAAAGGTCATAAAACGGGACAAAATTTACTTAACAGGTGTCTTGCTTAGCATTAGAAATTTTGGGTTCAATTTTGGTCATAAATTGAGGACTACCTTTACTGGATTCCTGGTCTTGACCCAAGCCAAACCTTAACTCTGGGGCCATGGCTGCCTTTAGCCTTAGGTAAAATGAACTTTTTGCTTCAAACAGTCTGGCTGAGTTTGCATATTTCAGGATTGCAGCCCGCTGTCTTATTGGCTGGCTGCCTGCAGTGCCAACCCTTGAATTTTGGTTAACAAAATAGAAATTAACACATTCTCACATGCTTCCATGTGCGCGAATATCTGTTGGCAAACTCTGCTATAATTCATCTCTGAAGAGGGCAGTGTGGCCTTGTGGGGTTGTACAAGCCAAAAATGAGTCTGCTGGGGTGACATGGAATATCGAATTCTGGTCTAGAGGGGAAAAAAAACCCTTAAATTATTAAAGCAAAGGAGATTAAACCGGTGACTCACGATTCTTGTATGGCCCCAAGCCTTGATTGGGGTTCTCAAATACTCCTCCGTCATTTGCCAGCCAAAAAATTAAATTTTGTGTGATTTGGAGCCAACAAAAAGAAGCAAAGGGGATGAGAACCAGTTTGGTTAAGTAGTTCAGGCTCTAGGTTAGAATCCAGGAGATGGTGAGTTCTAGTCCTGCCTTAGGCTGGGTGACCTTGGGGTAATCACTGTCTGTCTGCCCAACCCATCTTGCTGAGTTGTTGTGGAGGAGATAGATGGAGGAAGGGGCAGTATGTATGTTTTTGTGCCTTGAGTCACTTATAAAGTAAAAAAGGTGCGATCAAAAAACCCTCATCAATAAATAAAAATTGTACCTTTTAAAATCTCCTCAGAGACTCTCAAGGCAAACACAGGGGGGGGGGGGGGCAGATTTTTTTAAAAAATTGTCTGCCCTGACAAACTTTCTAGGGTCCCTCAGAAGCTGCAAAACGGGAAAAGTGCGACTCACTACCCAAACATACTGCTAATTCTTGCATTAAATAATTTTAAAGATGTGTGGTGCCTGTCTCTCAGGCAGCTTTTATTAAATCCGTACAATCCCATTCCAGTTGATCAGATGCTAAAGATACAGCATTGCACCAACTTTCTGAGGGTTGTTCAGGAACCCTGATATTTAAAACTTAAGTTGGTCATGTCAAATGTCAGGAGCTTTCTCTCCTCCTCTTTTCACTCCTCCCTCCCCTTCAAATCTTGCTGTGCAGAAGATTATTTGATGTCGAAATTCAGCCTCACTTCTTCCCATTTCTGTTTTGGGAGTTGAGCATCGGTGGCTTTGGGAGGAGAACGGCGTATCAAACTAGTGACCTGGTGGTGTGCGCTTCTGGGCATGCACTCTGGAAAGTGATATCTCGCACCTGTTTTTCACCATTTCACCATGACTGGTTTAGTGCTTCCACGCGGTTTATTCACCCTGCTGCTTGGACTCTGTCTGCGAGGTAAGCTGGTCTTGTGGGCAAAGGAGGAAGGTCTGTGTAAATCCCACCAACCTTGAGTGAAAGGTTGGGGTCCTCTGCTGTTTCCTTTCTTTTAAAGACTGGTTGACGGGTCGATGGGTTGATGGCAGAGAGGGACGGAAGTGAAAAACAAGTCATAAATGAGGCTGCAAAGGTTGACTTTGCAAGGGTTGAGGATGATGATTGAGCACTCAGCCAGAGAGACTCAAGGCGGAGCTGTTATTTAGCAAATCTTGTATGCAAAATTCTCGGATTTGATTCTGAGCACTTCCAGATAATAGGATGGTATTGCATCATTCAAACTCAGACCATCCGTTAAATGGTGGTTAAAATGCTAACCCTGGGTATCCGAGTCCCGTTATAGATTATTCTATTCGTTGCTGTAATCTTCTGTGTCTTCAGAAGTAATGGATCTTTTCTGGTTAAGCAGACTTTCTCTGTCCGAAAACATCAAGAGGGAAAGAAAAGTTGAAAAATTGGCCAGGGTCCCTTCTGAAGGAACAGTTCGCTTGCTCTAATTTTGAACCAAGATGAATGATTTTTCACCACAAAAGCAGGGGTTTGTTGTCGCTGAAAATGTAAAATTGACAAATCGCACACACACACTCGCAACCACAGGAAGTGCCAGCTGACCGGCACAAGATGCCATTGCAAAATGCAGTTAGCTATGCTTTGCTGGATGGTTTGAGAATTTTTTTCTGGGTCTCTTGATCATGTTAAATCTGATTAGTATAATGTATATACTTGGGGTGTTTTTTCCCCCTGTTCATCCTTGTAGTTGTTTCCTTGCCAATTCATTAGTTCCATGTACAGTAGTTATGCTAATTTTCCTTCAGATATTCATTGTGAACAGTTATTTATTTTCATCATATATATTTTAATTTATTTGTATTATTTCTTTATTATTTTTACAAACAACTCAAGGGAAACATATCCAACTCACTTTCCTACTACTACAATAATCCTGTGAGGTGGGTTGAGCTGAGAGAGAATGGGGTCATTACTCTCAAGGTCATCCAGCTGGCTTTCATGCCTTAAGGCAGGACTTGAACTCACAGCCTCCCGATTTTTAGCCTGGAGCCTTAATCATCAGATCAAACTGGCTCTCTGTGCTACATTTATAACCTGTCTTTTTTTCCAGGAGCTCAATCTGACTCACCTAGGGATCTCCTATCATTGTTCCCCACAATAATAACACCCCTGTGAGGTTATGATTGTCTTCCTTTAGCCAGCAAACTGTCAGCTCCCACCTTGAAATGTCTTAAAATCTCTCGCTAATAAAGTTTACTTCAAACATTATGTTAGGCCACCATATTAAACCAGTCAGTATTTTGAAAATAGGGGTATTTCTGATAATCCAGCACCTTCTGCCACAGTTCTCCCAGAAACAATTCCTGTCAAAGAGAACTATGGTACATTTTCTTACTCTACTTTGGTGTTGTGTAGGCTTCAATCTCTTCCACTTGTTATTTGCAACTTGTTGTAAAGTACTCAGAGTGGAGAGGTTGTTCCAAATGTTGCATCAACATTTACCACTGATGAGTCAATGCAGAGAACAAAACATATAGGTAGTCCTTAACTTATGACCGGTCGCTTAGCAACTGTTGAAAGTTACAATGGAACCCCCTCCCCAAAGGTAATGGCTTTCCCCTCATTGTGGATACCAGCCTGCTCGCATTTACGGTCATTTGCAGCGACCCGCAATCACATGACCACAATTTACAATGCTTTGCTGAAATCTGGAATTTGTTTTCCGGTTTTGGCAAAGTACTCCAAAATGAGTTCGTTTAATGACCATGGTGGTCATTAAAAACTGCTGAGAAAAACGATCATAAAATCAGGTCGGCCACGTGGTCACCCACTTTATAGCTATCATGACTTACAACCATAATGGGCGAGTTCCATTTGGTAATAAGTCAAGGATTATCCATAGATGCTTTGATTCCATTTAAAAAATATCTTCAGTCTCAGTAGAAGTTTTTGTAATATCTCTGCAAATTTCCATGAATGAGAAATGAGTAGGACAAAGATAGCTAGAGGATTTAGCTTTCAGAGTTAATTTTAATTTTAATTGTAACTCTGACCTCCCATGGCAACTATGGCAACTACCACATCTTCCAGCTTTTCAAAAAGCAGAGTTGCCACACTAATCTTCAATAGCAGGGATGAGCAATTATGGCAACATTATGACTTGTGGACTTCAACTCCCAGAATTCCCGAGCCAGCTCGGAAATTCTGGGGGTTGAAGTCCACAGGTTGTAAAGTTGCCATAGCTGACTGCCCACTCCTGATCTATAGTATCATCAGATTCATTCTAGAAAATAATCGTCACATAACGGAAACATTCGTCTATATAGATAGTCCTCAATTTATGACCACAATTAAGCCCAAAATTTATGTTGCTAAGTGAGAAATTTGTTGAGTTTTGCCCAATTTACAGCTTTTCTTGCATTTGTTAAGTCAATCACTGCAATTGTTAAGTTAGTAACACGGTTGTTAAGTGAATCTGGTTTCCCCATTGACTTTGCTTGTCAGAAGATCGCAAAAGGTGATCACATGACCCCAGGAGACTGCAACTGTCATAAATGCGAGTCAGTTGTCAAGCATCCAAATATAGATCACGTGACCATGGAGATGTGCAACAGTCATAAGTGTGAAAAATGGTTATAAGTCACTTTTTTTAATGCCATTGTAACTTTGAACAATTAGTAAGCGAATTGTTGTAAGTCGAGCACTACCTGTAATGAAGATAAGTTCAACTCATAACTGGATTAAGTTCTGGACAGAAGTTGTCTTTTTTGAGGGGAGGTGTACTCGGGGAGGCAGACATCAAACATTCCTGCCCTCAAGAATTAGAATTAGAATTCTTTTATTGGCCAAGTGTGATTGGACACACAAGGAATTTGTCTTGGTGCAAATGCTCTCAGTGTACATAAAAGAAAAGATACATTCATCAAGAGTCAAGAATCATAAGGTACAACACTTAAAAATAGTCATAGGGTACAAAAAGCAATCAAATCATACTAGGAAACAGTCAATATAAACCGTAAGGATACAAGTGACAAAGTTACAGTCATACAAGTGGGAAGGGTGATAAGGAGTGATGAGAGGATTAATAGTAATAGTAGTGCAGACTTTGTCAATAGTTGAACAGTGTTGAGGGAATTATTTGTTTAGCAGAGTGATAGCATTCGGGAAAAACTCAAGATATATTAGCAACCTTTCTTCTCATGGAGGTAACGTTGATAGTTATGACGATCACCAGCTCTACAATTTTTTTCAAACATTTGCTTGAGTAAATCCATTGAAGTTGCAGAGATGGATATTGTTATGGTGTCTAATAAAGTGGAAGGTTAGGCATTTTAAAGAAAATTGGGAATCCAACGCAACTCTAAGCCTCCTAGATCATATTAGAACCTCCCAGGATACAGGTCTTTAATACGATCATCACAAACAGTAAGGAACCCATTAAATAACAAATTGATGAACGGGTGGAATATAACATACAAGTCTTATTTGTAATAAAAATCACACTCAGTATGTTCTTTCTCCTGCCAGGATGGTGATATAGAGTATAACAGCCTCACATTTTGGGACTGGAAATTTATTTTAATTTTAATTAAGTAAATAATTTACACAAAAGAAGAAAGAACTAAATAAAGAGTGGACAAAATTGTAATGATAAACCCAATAAATAAATAGAAAGTTTCCGTGTATTCTGAGAGTCGACAAAACGACACCCATGACAATTAACATCATAAAAATAACCTGATTTGACAAAAGTATGATTCTTGCCCCTGGGACTTCTTTATTCTAAGATTTTTACGTTCACAAATCAGTTGTTAAATTTTCAAGAAATTTCAAACATTGAGCAATAATTGGTTTTGCTACTAAAAGTAAATAGATAATCATCTTATTTTTAAGGGAATTGTTGAATTATAAAAAGCCTCACTTTTGACAGCATTTAGTTCTTTGTTTTGAAATTATCTTCATTGGAAAGTTAATTACAGTATATACAGCTCTAAATTAACTGTAAATGGTCTTCATGAATATCTGGCAAAGGTGATGTTAAAATTATGTATTCAAAAATGGAAAATTATGTACTTAAAATGGAAAATCATCAAGTTATTGGATACAAAGGTCATCAAGCAATCAAACTCTCTTTAGACAAAACTGATCCAGTAGAGGACAGAGTTGTATTAACCATTGAATAGACGTGTCTGCTTGAAGAGAATTGAGGAAAATGATGAAATCATGGTTTAATTAATGCCATTCCATTCTTCACACACATGAATCCAGAACCGATGAAGATCTCAATTGCAACAATACTACACTACACACCCTGCCTAGCAGAACTTGTAAACACGCAAATATGTGGGCTTGGGACCTTACTGTCTTCTTCATCAATCTGAAGTTCCAGTTTGATGGACAAATATACAAACCCATGGAAAGGACACCAAAAGATCATTCATCTCAAGTTTCATTAACAGAAATAATAAAGCAACTCCTGAAAAAAAAATAGTCCTCCCACAAATGCAATCTGTATGGTTCTATTATATGGAGGATACATTCATGATTATCAAAAGGGATCGTATTTTGGAACCATGTATAATTCCGTGTAATCAGAATGATAGGAAAAGAAGAACAGCAGCTCTCCTTTCATCAGCAAGAAAAACAATGGCAAACTATAAACATAGGTGTGGGACCATATAAGAAGCTGTGTCAGAACTCTGTCAAGCAAAAATGTACTGCAATAAGCTAAAACCCCCAAAAAGCAGAAATAAAAAAGGAGAAATATAGCATGCTCCAAACTGTAGATATCCACCCAGCTTCCTCAGAAAGTCTTCCATGCATCCACTACAAAATCTGTCCGATTTATGAATAGAATAATTTCCCTCCCTTCATGTTGGAGGTACTATTTAAGGTCCTCCTGGGTCACTAGGTAGCCAGTGACACCCACGAGGGCACTTTTCATATGCCCA